GCCCACGGGCCAAATTTGATACCCCTTGAAAATGTTTACTTTATTGCTCGGCTCTCGGTTGCCGACTAATTGCGCCCCCTCCTCCCCCGATTTACAGGAACCCCCCGCCGCACGGTGGATCGAGCCAATCGGAGAGGTCGGACGTGAAATCTTCGACTAAAACTGCAAATTTTGATGTTAATTTTGTCACGTTTTGAATTTTAAGGAGTGCCTACCGCGGAAAATTTCACGAGGAAACCAATGGAACCGCTTTTAGAACGTCTGTAAGTCCGGAAAGCCGGAATTAGTACTGATTTTTTAACGCTGGTCCGGAAGTACCGAAAAAGTGCGGAAAATCCGCAAGGAGGTCCGGAATTTTTTTATTTTTGCCGCAATTTGAGCGAGAAATTCCAATGTTTTGAATTTTTCAAATTTCGTCCATTGGAGGTACTGAAAAAGTACTGAATTTCTCCGTTGAAGAGGAACTGAATTTCTTGGGAATGTACAAAAAAGTACTGTAAAAGTGCCGATTCTTGGCTGAACTGTTTTTGTAAACACCCTGAACCTCAAAGTTTTGTATAAACGGACACTGTTAAAAATCTATGATTTACTCTGAGTGAATAGTCGGCGTGAAAAACAAAATCCAGCGCGAAATTCGCACAGTACTCTAAGTGAATAGATCAGAGCGCGAATATCACCAACGACGGACGAATCAGTTGAGCTCCCTCAAGTAGAGTGAATTCAGTGAGCTCAGATATTATAGCGTCGAATTGGGAAAGTGGTAAGGCACTCGCCTTATCACCACTGCGACCCTAGTTCAAATCCATGCTGCGGCAGTTCCGTTTTACATTTGCCTGTCAGATTTTCACTCCGGCCAGAGCGCGAAATTCGCGCCGGATCCATGCACTCAGAGTAACAGATGGTCAAAATAGCAACTGCGTAAGCGTGAATTTCGTGCCGGGATTTTTAACGATGGAGTTAAAAGCGTTTAAAGTTTCCGAATTTTTCCGATCTTTCCTACTGACTCGATCCACACTGGAAAAAAAAACACATTGGATCTAGAGTCCAGACTTGGAAAAATTGACAAGAAAAAATACTCTTGATTCAATCGGATTTTTGCTTGAATCAAAACGAAATCCGTTTAAATTAAGAGGCTTGGTTCTTGATTTAAGCTAGATTCCGATTGAATCAAGTGTACTTTTTCTTGTCGATGTTTTTAAGAGTCTGGACTCTAGATCCAATGTGTTTTTTTCCAGTTCACTGTGCGCCGGGGGTTCCTCGAGGGGTTGAGAATCTCTTCACGTGCCATTTTTCTCGGATGTTTATCGGCTTCGATTCGCGGGGAGTGTTTTTTGCAGCCGGGATGAGCCGGAGTGGATCCCTCAGATTTCGCCGTCGATCGTAAACCCTTCGGTTTACGGTAAACACTCGAGACTGTGAATGGGTCAGTTGTGCATGTCTCGGAAATGGGATGAGATTTTTGGTCTCGTAAGAGTGGGGAGGGAATGAAGTTCTAAATGCTCGGTGAGAGTGCATTGGGGTTGCAGCTATCATTGACGTCATTCGGAGCAACGGTGCGGACTAGTGGCTTGGCGTAATTTGCGATGTATCGATTGATCTGCCCTTTAAACCTATGGAAATGGATCGATAATTTGATGCTTGCAACGAACGCCTTAACCATCGATTCTTTACTGCAGCTTCAAATGGGGAAATATCGATAATCGATCGTTTACGACTCGGCACTGGTGCGGAATATTCTGAAGTACACACGGTTCATGCATTGAAGTGTGCTTGAGTAATATCGGGAACGGATATTATGAGAAATGCAGGTTTCATATTTTTGATCCTATACCAATCTGTATGAGAATGACCAAATTCGGAAACACGGAATTTTATGGTTGACAATGAAAACTGCTTTGCATGCAAGAGAGGCAAGTTACTAAGAAACTGCGTATACATCTAAGGATCACGAATAATCAAGTTTTAATAAAATTGCGTACCATAATGGTTTTAGCAGGCTGCTCAATCAAGCAGCGTTCTTCTCCCACACTGTGTTCTCTAAAAACTTGCAACAGCTGCAGGCTGATTGTCGATATTGATAGGAAAAGCTGAAGACGAAGAAGATAAAAGGAATATAGAGGGAGACCGTATCGTTAGTCCATCATTTCGTCTCTTACTCTGCAAGGACCAACCATTTCAAACAATAGAATTTTTCCATAGTCCCTAAGTCTTCTTTGTCTATCGCTTTGTCTACCAATTTCAACTATCAGCCCGCTGAACCGAAGCGCCAATATTGATTTTGTCATACTTCAAATCGCGGGGACTATTATTACGGTAATGTTAATCGTGCGTTTTAATGCAATAAGATAATATTTTCTTTTCAGCGGCGGGGCATAAATGATCGATTATCGATATTTCCGCATTTGAAGCGGTGGTGAAGAATCGATTATTAGGGTGCTCGCGGCGAACACCCTGTTCATCGATCCTTTTCCATACACTGAAAAAAAAAGAATCTTAAATTTGCCGCAAAGAAGTATTTCTTCTTAAATCAAGACCTTTGCTGGTTAATACAGTGAAAGCTCTCTAAGTCGAATTGTGTAGGTACCGACGAAAAATTCGACTTAAGCGGCCATTCGTCTCAACTAATTCTCCACTTTACACGTAGCCATGGCTAGGGACCGAAAAAAAATTCGACTAAAGTGGCATTTTGTCTTAAACGTAGTTCAACATAGCGAGCTTTTACTGAATAAGCTACTTTTTTTGCTTAACCCTAGCATTATTTTTCTTGAATCAAGAAATAGTCAGCCTAGAGCAAGATAAAGAAAATTCTTGGCGGCAAATTCAAGAATTATCATGCTTGATCCAAGCTACCTTTATTTTTCAGTGTTGGGTTAAATGACTCATCAATCGATTTATCTCGACGCACGCCACGCCACTGTTTTTTTTTATGAGCGGGAAGTTTAGCTTCGTGCATCGAAAAACCGTTAATGTATTCGTCAGGAGTTACTTTCGTCTCCTTTATTCGTGTTCCATGTAAAATTTTGACACGACCATAATGCACAAATTCGCACCCTGTCTAACGGCTCATTTTCAAGCAAGCTGAATCAATCACACCTAAATCCCGCCGTCCTGTTCCCAATAAGCGTATCCAAGAATTTGAACGCAACCAGAGGCTGGTCCCCGGGAACCATGTGCCCGCAATTCCGGAACAGGATCTCCGTAAAAAGGCCGACCGTTTTGAAGTACCCAACCGTCGCATCTCCCTCCAGTATCTTGCACCTCTTCGCCTTCAAGTACGCATCGGCGTACTTCCACTTGAGGTTACGGAACAGATTCTCGCTCAAAGGGTAGGCGCAGATGATGTCCAGCTGCCCGCTGTACGACACGAAGGGGAACGCCTCCCAGTTGAGGATGTCCTCGATCCACGGCTTCGCCGGCTGCATGAACGCCGAGTCCATCGAGTCCGCGACTTTCTCGCTCCCGAACTGCCATTTGTGATTGCCGACGTGGAGCAGTCGCCTCACGTCCGGTTTCGCGAAGAAATCCTCGTCGGGTTGCAGTACGTCGACGTCGTTGATGTAGTTATACGGAGCGTCTAGACCGGTGACGTTGTACATGGCCCAGAAAAGCTTGTCGTAGAATACGGATTTGGCTTTGGACCACTCTTTGGCTCTCATGGCGGCTCGCGCCTCCTCTTCGTACGTGTGGAATAGGTCTCTCGTGTTGAAGTCGATGAAACCGTGTTGGTACAAGTAGTCGGCGTACTCCATCATGTAGAAGGGGTCCGACCAACCGTTGCCGATCGCCACCGCGGACAGCGGCACGACGAGGCCCTTCCCCGCGTTCTCCTGGTTGCGCAGGTGGATGTAGTGCGCGAAGGCGGGGATCATCTTACCGGCGTAAGACTCACCTGCGGAAAGGAAATGTCGCGATGAAATCGGCGGTAGGGATTAATGTGCAATTCTGGGGGGAAACTTACAGGTGCGCACTGGAAAAAAACACATTGGATCTAGAGTCCACACGGAGGAAAAAACTTCGCGCGTGGGACCCGAAGTTTAGGTCATGTGGATCTCTGAAGTTTTCGGATTAAGCATCTGAACACTTTAGGTCCAGCTGCTGTGGTTTGGATCACACATCTGAAACTTTAGTTCTCACATCTGAACTACTTCGGTTCTCACACCCGAAAAATTTCGGTTCTCACATCTGAAGTACTTCAGATGTAAGGACTGAAGTTTCAGATGTGTGATCCGAACCTCGATAGCTAGACCTAAAGTATTCAGATGCTCAATCCGAAATCTTCAGAGATCCATGTGACCTAAACTTTGGGTCCCACGCAAGAAGTTTTTTTCTCCGTGCAGACTCTTAAAAACATCGACAAGAAAAAATACTCTTGATTCAATCAGATTTATGCTTAAATCAAGAACCAAGCCTCTCAATTTGAGCGGATTTCCTTTTGATTTAAGCTTAAATCTACTTGAATCAAGAGTCCTTTTTCTTGTCAATGTTTTCAAGAGTCTGGACTCTAGATCTAATGTGTTTTTTTTTCCAGTGCGGGTCCTTTTTCCTACGTTTGGACTTGTGAGTTTCATCAAAAAGCATGTCTGCGAAGGAGAGGGGGTGCTCTCAATGCCGTGTATTCTTCGCGGAATTTAATGTTATCTAGTCACATGCAGTCACAATTTTTCGGAAGGGGAGGTTATTATTTTAACGTCCAAAACCCCCAAGACCCCAGTCACTACACCGCGAAGGAATGAGAGTTACAGTGAGGAAAAAGCGGACCCCCTCTTTCTCCGGCCAAAATGGCCGATCTTGTTTTGCAATCATCATCCTCCAACATGCTCTGAGTTTCTAAACTTGCAAGAATGCTGTTTTTTTCTTTACCACTCTCTCCTCTTGTGCCAATTTTTTTTATATATATTTATCATTTTCATTCGTTTTAGTGTATTTTCCGATGGAAAAATATTTTCATTTTTCGTGTCAAACTATGGTGTGAATTTTGACAGGGTTATTTAAATTCATATCCACTGAATGTTTAAGTGCCAATATATAAATGGACCGCTAGTAACAGAAAAAAACCAAACCACATCAGCTTCTGCCAAATTTAACTTGAGAAGTTAATTTTTTACGAGAGGACGTTTGTGTGGATCCCTTTGAAGATGTAAAGGAATTTATTTTGTTTTGGACCATGGAGAATATCACCGAAATTTGCACAACCGTTCTCATGTAAAATATTAATCTTCCCAACTTTTGGCAGTGGCTGATGTGGCTTGGTTCTTTTCTGTTTAACGCAGTTCAAATGTCGATTCTCTCACATGAACGTAAGATCCTAAATGAGGATATTTTAGACAAAGATATCTGTTATCAACCAACTGATCAGTAGATTTCCACTCGCAAATGTAGTTATATCCTATGTCACTCTCAGAAATCCAAACCCCAAAACACTCGGCCCAAAAGACACACACTATTTCCTCGGAAATCGCGTTTGTTCCATTGCGATCCTTGCTTACATAGTGGTCACCCTTATTTTTATCCTAAAATTTAACACTCGACAAGAGTGTTAGCATGAGTAACAGGATTGTGGAAAAGTGCTGAGCCCGCATTATTCAACGGGAAAATCATTGTAAAAAAATCTCAAAATTCTGATTTTTGAACTATTCGACTTCAACCTCCCCGCACAACGATGTGAACCCATCAATATCGCACCTTTCTCAATTGAATCAACTGTTTCCAAAAGGGAACAAGTCCATTTTTGCATGAGCCTTGGCTTGCATTAAAAGACATGCTATTTAAGTCTTATCGAGGAATGGGCCTTTTCCCTTTTCCCTTTTGAAAACAGCTGATTCAATTGCATATCCGGACCACATTTTTAGTGTATTTTTGTCGCTTTATCTCACCTGTGATGTACAGAGGGTTATTTTTTAACTCGGGGAACATTCCGTAGAATTGAACGATGAACGAATAGAGGTTCGTCGCTATATCCAGTTCCAAGGTCGGGTAGCCGGCGTCCTGTTTCGTGAAGCTGAAGCCGGCCCCGACAGGGTTGTCGATGAACAGGAGGTTGTACTTCTGGCACCACGTGTACTTCCTCCTGACGAGTTTCACCTTGTCGTTGAGGTAGAAAGGCCCGATTTCGTACAACAGTCCGTACAACGACGTTACTCCCGGGCCGCCTTGTAGCCAAATAACAAGCGGTTTCGTTTTCCAGTCGCCCTCGAAAGATTTGAACATCCAGAAGAACAAGTTGGATCCGAGATTCTCGTTGACCGTGATATAGCCGGAGAAGCTCTCGATCCCGGGGAGTAAAGGTGGGATCGGCTGGACCGTGGCGAGTCGTTGCGCCTCGGCGAAATCGCCTTTTTTTATGATGGGCGACAAGAACAGGGGACTCCCCACCGGCGCTGCACTCAGGAGGTTCGCGTATGTCAACCTGCGTAGTTCAGCTTTCTGAGACCTTAGTTTCAATTTTGCCCGGATGTGGGGGTCGAGCAGGAAGGAGTTCACGAAAAGAGGACTCGGAATTAAAACAAAAAGGTAAATAAGGTTAATCCAAGGGTCAATTTTGGAGGTCGGGAGCATCCTGATCAGAGTTTCAAACCCAGTTGCGCTTGTAAGTACTTTCAATTTTAACGTCACCGTTACGAACAAGTATGCCTGACTGGTGACTTAAGCTCTTAAAAACAATCACCACTTATTGGTCAATTTCGGAAGTCGGGATTCTGATCATATCGAAGAGTTTAAAACCGAGTTGTCCTTGTGAGTACCTTGTATTTTAACCATCGAGTGTATTGCACTGTTACGAATAAGTATGCCAGACTGATGACTTAAGCACTTCTCGACGGCAAATGACGTAAAAACAATCACCACCTATTTGCCAACAGATAGGAGGATACGGGGTGGGTCATAAAACTCGGTAAGCTCTATGTTTTCTATGAGTGTTCAATGTTTGGATTTATTAGACGAAACAGAAAGCGCTTTTCAGCGTGATGTACCTACTGGCTACACTCGATCACCACAACTGAACATAACTATACTATAATCACTATACTGCTCTGTTCATGTATAATTTATGAAATCAAATGTTTGATTTTGGCTGTCATTTATATAAGTTGCAGTTTTACTGAGGTATCAGCCAAAATACACAGAAAATCCATGGCTGATACCTCAAAAAACTGCATTATTTAACAAAGGTCCAGGACTTTTAGATTTTGCTGAATGTTTCGTAGTTATATTGTCTAGTCATGGATATTTGTTTTCTTCTATATGACATTTTTATCCCTCAATTTAAATATTATCGAAGGGAAACTTCAAAACTACGTGACACTTCGAGACTTTGCCACACTCTGTGTTTATCTCAATAATATTACGCCAATTTTTGCTCATGCACGTGTGTTTGCAATGAACAGTTTCTCTTTAAACACAGGCGTTGCCGCACTACGCGTGCATTGTATGATGTAGAAACAGATGTGATTCAAATCTAAGTAAACTCAAGACCTTTCCCTATCATCGTAGATTGCAAAAATCACATACATCCAGCTAGCATACGTCCATAAAGTACACGCCCTGTGACGTCCGCTTCAAGGCGTATCGTCAATTGTCGCCGACTCAAACGCGGATAATTCTCGTTTTTCTAACGTAAGGGCGTATCTCTATTTCCACCTGAGTCCAGGAAAACGTATAGTTCCACGGAGAACAGGGCTTACGTGGAAATCGAGATTCACCCTTACCAGTGGCGAGGCGTGAATGATCGATTATCGATATATTCCCATTTACGCTGTGGTAAAGAATCGATCATTAAGGTGTTCGCTGCGAACACCCTGTTTATCGATCCTTTTCATGGGTTTGAATGGAAGAGTAATCGATATATCTCAAAGCACGCCGCGCCATTGATCCTTACGTTTGAGGAGCGATGAAATTAATTTTTGGGCGGCTCAGTATCAGAACGGAGCACGGTTCCGGAGACTCCGTACGCGAAATGTCAGTTTTGACCTCCAAAACCGCACTCCCGAAGCTTGTGAATGGATCTTAGGTATTAAGACAGTAATCGTTCGTATTTTTTTTTTTTTTTTTTTTTGAAGGTTTCCAAAAATTATAATCACATTCTTCCTTTTTGTTGAAAATTTTGTTCGTGATACAGTACTATCCCGCTGTAACAGAAACCGTTATTACGAAAATCTTGCCGTACGGAAGAAATCGGCCAGTCCCTTGCGTTAAGGTACCTTAAAGTAACGCCCACTATAACGAGAATCACGCTGTAACGAAGAAATTGGCCAGTCTGTTGAAATTTCCCTATGGCGGAATAGCAGTGTAATTGATTTCTGTCACGGCATGCATTGCTAATAATACATTATCATGATCCGTTTTTACAACGCAAATAATTACGAAAATAATTTATACAATAAACGAAATAATTTTGACACCTCGTACGTTCTCAACGTTTTTTTCTTTTTGTTTTTTCTTTTTTTTATGGTTTCATAAAAGTATGAACGACCAAGACATTATTCTGCCTTCGTCGATTGCCGACAAGTTGATGTGCTTACATATTCGTGGGGAATATGAAGGATGAGGATGGATGTCGGATCATCAATAAAATGTGGACTCATGGCTGCAGGAGAGAAAAACCCCTCTGAGAATCCAGCCCAATTGTAAAAATACCTTTTTTCTTCTATTTTGGCCAACACTTTCAGTTTCTCTAGCACCTGAACAGAAAGTGAAATTTCAATTCATCCCTAACTCAGCAAAACTCACGAATCCCCGTCAATTCGGAAATTCGGCAGCCTGGCCCCGTGTCCCTGCGGCGGCCCCGCGCCCGCGTTCGCCATGATTAGCCACTCAAATTTGATCCCGTGAAACGTGACCCCCTCCCCCGCCCCCCTGCGCCGCCCGAGCGACATACGTCATCGTCAAATTCACATGTGCCGGCATCCATCACGGGTATCATATCAGCACGTGCCCGCGCGGAGTCGAGTCGGCGACCCCGCGGATCGGCGGTGTTGCGATCTATCGATTCACCTTCCGTTCAAACCTGCGGGGAAGGATCGACCATCGATAATCGATTCTGTACCACAGTTTCAAATGGGCTAATTTCGATATCTAATGACACACGCTTTGGCACAGCCGCGAATCCTCCCCCATCCTCAACTTCGTCCCCCTGGGCGTCTTATAATTATTTCACGTGCGAAACCGGGTCCTTTCACGGCCTCTTCTTTTTTCCATCAGTCTTCCGGATTTTTCCGGCCCGCAGTCGACTTCCGGCGGGTGATAGGCTTCGGCGCCGCACAGTGGATCGAGTCAATGCGAGGGGTCGGACACGAAATTTTCAACTAAAACTGCAAATTCATCTGTTTATTTCGTCACGTTTTCAATTAAAATGGGTGCTTCAAGAACGCAATTTCACGAAACAACCACACTGTTAAAAATCGTTGATTCCGTCCGACGGAAAATCCGGAGTGAGAATGAACACGGGAGTGCGGTTCAGCGCGTAGGTGCTGAGACGGGCTGCATGTGAAGTCAAAGCACTCCGCACCGGAGCTGCAGTACGGCCCGGAGTCACGCGCACCTTCTCTCTCGCACTAGCGCTATATACTGTCTCTCCTCCCCTTTAAGCCTACCACTCTCAGAATGATAATGAAAAATTTAAAGAGAAAAAAATAGAAAAAAATAATAGAATAGTGGAAATAATAGAATAGTCGAAATTATGGTATAACAGAGACAAAAGAAAAGAAATAAAATNCCATGGCACTTAACTTTGGTAAAACTCCCTTTATAAAATCGCTTAACAGCGTCAATCAACCCCCCGTTAAAATTCGATTTTTCCAAGGCCTCCCAAAGTTTCACCAACGGCACGCTGTCATACGCCTTCTGGAGATCCACAAAAATTAAATGCAGTTCCTGAGTTCCAAGTAAAGGAATGAGAAGTAAATAATTAAAGAGAAAAAAATGAAGTGCTTGAAAAAATAAAATAGAGTGAAGAAAAAATAGAGACAACAAGGAAATAAAACAAATTAAAACGATAAAATATAGTTAAAAAATATAGTAAAGTAAACTAAATACACGACAAATCCAGGTAGATTGAAAATATTTTAGCGGCCCGTTCAAATCGACGTTAAATACCGTTTTTGTGTCACTTTCATGCATCGTTTGCTATAGCTCAATCGGTAGGGTCGTCGGTTAGTGTTAGGTAGGTCCCGGGTTCAATTCCCAATGTAGGTAGAAAATTTCTAACCTTCAAATTCGGTTAAATCACGTACCAATGGTTTCATTATTTTTATTTTTCATGGTTTCAAAAATTATTTCCACAATTAACCCCTTTCCACCATCCCCCAGCTGCGAACCCCTAAATTTGCGGCTCCCGCGAATCCGTCCGGCGTCGGAGTGATTTCTATGCGTACGGCACCCAAAATCCGTCCAGCCGATTCTCCGTCGGAGTGACTCCTCGGTCCGACGAAGTGAGGGCCCGTTCTTACTCGCGCTTGTGCTGAGTCTCACTCCGTTTTTTTAACAGTGCAATGAAATCATTTTTGGCTCAAAGTTTCGTATGAACGGAGTTATAAGCATTTAAAGTTTCCAAATTTTGTCCGACCTCCTCTATTGATTCAGTCCACCGTGCGCCGCATAGAGGAATGAGTCAATGGAAGAGGACACTAAATTCCGGACAAAAACTGCTAATTTTGAAGTTTATCTCATCAAATTTTTAATTTGAAGGAGCGCTCTCGGAGGAAAATCTACGAAGAAAGCAATGGAACCACTTTTAAATCCTCACCGTTTTGTATGAACGGAGTCATAAGCCCTTAAAAATTCTCTATTATGTTCTTCCTCTCGTATTGACTCAATCCACTGTGCGCCGCGGCACCTGCGACCCGCGCGCACCTGTTCTGCCTTCTTGGAGGAAGAAAGGCGCATCAGCCTTCGGATATTGCTAAATTTCATTCGTTTACATTCGAATGTTCCGGGAAAGAATGGGGTGTTTTTTTTTTTGTTTTTCCATGGGAAAATTTTGGCAACATTCGAATGTTCATACGCTGTTTTGCCTTATCACGGCCGACGGCCGTGTTGGGCCGCGGTTTCAGGCCCACTCTCCGAGATTGGGGTTTTAAGGATATGGGAGGGGCAGCTTGAAGATATCATCATATCTATGACTGAAAGGTAAGGAAGATTTTTAAGCTGAATTTCCTTTTTGGCTTTTCGAACATATGATACATTTCGGTGGACTTCAGCTCAACATCAACAACGTGTTGCGTGTTGCGCGGTGCGATCGCCGGCAATGCCATGGAAAAAATTAAATTGCTGATTAAACAATTAATTGCTAAAAAAATGACTGCAATATTTCAACGTCGTTTTCACAACACAAAAATGCCTCTTTAACCATTGCTTATTTTGGGCTAATTTAACCATGGTGGTGGTGGTAACCAGGGTGGATGAAGTAGCATTTTTGTGTTGTGAAATCAACGTAGAAATATTTGTTTAGCAATTGATTTGTTAAATCAGCAATTTAATTTTTTCCGTATCTGCCTCTAGACAAGGTATGAATTAAAGCACAACGCTTTACGTGTCTTCATGTGAATTTTCTCGAAAAAACGACACATATGACGGGAAGTCTGTAAATTAACCCGTGAAGAAGATGTAAGTGCTTTCTACTAGCATTGGTTCAAAGGCAGAAATACAAATGACGTCATTTCTATAGACTATCCCCGATTGTCCCCAGGAAAGAAATGTTTTTTGCCCATCGAATAAAGTAGAAACCAAAGGACCTTTGTTTTGAATTTTGCTCCCTCGTCCAGGCTCGCAACATGTTCCTAATATCTTGGTTGCAGCGCTCTATTAAGCCCTGGATTTGTGGATGCCGCAGCCTATTGATGTGATCGCTTGATTTTCGGTCCATTACTTGCGGCTCGCAAATTGCCCAGGGAAAATTGCACAATGCCTAAGCAATTCGCCGACTCGTTGTTTGTTTTGGCAGTTTTCGAGCCGATCGCCAATTGCCTGCGACACATCCAACTGGTATTATTTTCCTTGACTAGAGCACTTCCACTCCGGTGCCCGAAACACAAGCTTGTAATGCGAGTTTCCTCCATTGGGTTTTTGCGGGCGCTATGTAACCCGACTTAAGTGGGAA